AAATAAAATATGTATTGAACATATATTACATATTATATATTATTATTCAATAAAAGTAGAGAGAGAACACGTTAAATAAAATTCTTTATTAATATTAGTATCTATAATAAACCACAAGTTCTAATATAGTTTAATGAAACATTATTGTTATCTATATTATGATTAATCACCTTAACGATCATTTCGTATTACGTCTTTCCCTCTCTCTCTCTCTCTCTCTACTTGTTATTAGATACGATATTAGAAGATATGCAAACTAAAGGATATGATTGCAAACTCCCATAGATTTGGCCTAGGGCTACGATAAAGAGCTGATTCGCTTTACGATAGTACGATTAATCGAATACCAGTTACATCGGTTAGGTTCCATCGGAATCGAGTTTGAGTCGAGCTTAAAATCGATCGTATCTACCGATATGGTACTTCTCACACGAAAGAGCAAACGAATAACGACTACGACAACGACAAAGACCAACCAAACTGGCCGATCCACTTCGAACGATGGAAATGGAATTTTTTTTTTTTTTTGGCACCCCTACTTTCCTTCCCCCCATCTTCTCCCTTCATATGCCAGAAAGGACCGCCGATGCCCATACATTTTTCGATATCAAAGAATAGCGTGCGATTCGCCGAGCTAATGGAAACCCTTCCCCTTACCCCCTTTTCCCCCCCTACACTCCCCCATCTCCATGGTACATCTACTATTTTCTCACATGCATCGAAATACACCATGTGAAATCGTTTTAAAGTCTGTTAAACAAACGTTATGCACTTTTCTCATTTTTTCTTTTTTTCTTTCTTTCTTTCTTTCTTTCTTTCTATCCCTTTTTTTTTCTATCTCTATCTATCTTTATCTTTTTTTTTTTTACAAAAATTCTATTTTAACAAGTTTTTTTAGATTTTATACTGTACTTTTTTTTCTTTTTTTTTTTTTTTTTTATTATTATTACAACACGAATGAATATAAGTTCTACGTAAAAAAAAAAAAAGGAAAAAGAAAGTGCAAATAAAAATTCATTCGCAGCAAAAGATAATCGGTCGTACGATTTGGTAACGATCGTACACCATCACATTTCTCGAAAGGTTTTATCGAGAACGAATTGTTGGAAAGTTTGAGAGCACTTTGTTTTTTTTTTCTTTTTGTAGATTCGAGTACAACAGAGCATCGATGTTCTATTATTTTTTCTTTTTTTTTTTTGTGGAAAATTTAAGTATCTCCCGTACAATCGAATGGAGAAACTTTTTTTCTAATGGGGAAATAAATCATCTAGAGTGATAATGATGATACCTTGTAGTATTTCATTAGAAATCAATTATTTCTATTAAGATGTCACACATTTTGTATTGTTTGATTATATTATTTAAATTACTTTACTTATTTTCTATTATTCATTTTTATATTAAAATTGTAGAGAATATTGAAATATACGTAATCTAAGATTTCAATAGAAAATATTCTATTGAAAAAGTTTTTTTTTAAATATTTCCATAGAAAATAAATGAAAAAAAAGTTTATACGACGAAACGTGGCGCTGTCGAGTAAAATTGATTCTTAATTAATATAACTGTTGTTTTTAATATTCATAAACTATATTATTTCAATTATATGTTCGTTCTAATTGAACAATATGCGAATCAAAAAATATTGATTTCAATATAATCAACAGAATGAATAATTTTTAATGAATTGTTGATAACA